AGTTTTTTAGTATGGTTGACAATGGTGAGATGCCACACGTATAAAAATAAATACAATGCAAAATGGGAGCAATTCAAAAGAGGAACTTATCATCTGTGAGAGTTGCTTGGTGGAGTTCCGGACGGCGGGAACGTGTTTTCTCCGCAGTATGGCTGCTACACGTGTTCCATAGTTGTCCGTGGACTTGTGGAGAGTGGTTGACTTCCTGATCCCTGCGTGCGCGCGAGTCTGTGTGTGCTGACTGTGTTCGGGTTCCTTATATGTAGGTCCGTTTGCGTGTAAGGAGGCGCATCAGCACATGACTAGTTGCTACGCTCACTAGACGGTACAGACAATCAACGTCTGATGAGTCACCTTAATGTGACGTGGTTCGTGGGTATGAAAAAGAGAAGTTTCGTGATCCAGTGAGCGACCGTGAGCTGAAAAGTCAGGTGTGTGGGTGACCTGGTAGCTACAAGGCCTCATCCTCAGCGTTGCACATGGACACAGGCATTGCAATCACGATAAGTAACCAAGGTAGGCAATATCGACTACAGTTGCGAGTATGACGGGCCATCGCTGGTCGTTCGATTAAGATGTCACACACAGCTGGAGCCTGGTTTCTATTGCCCGGATAGATACTGGCCTGATATTCACTATAGGTAACAGACAGTACGGCAGTTAAGATCGGTGTTGAACAGTGGTGTCATGCTGTCGACGATGATGATGATATAGGTGGCAGACATAAGCGAGAGCGCGCACAGTTATGGGTATGACGGGCAATGGTTGGCAGTTAAATTACGACACGGCGCATATTTGCGGCCCAATAATCATCGTCGCATATAGACACTGGCCTACCAGTTTCAAAAAGTAGTCAAGGTTGGCGATTTCGCGTGCAATTGTGAGCATGAGGTCCGTCGTTCGCCATTAGGTTATGTATGTATGCATAGTCTGGTCCTTGTATTCGTTGATTCGCATCAATACTGGCCCGTTGTTTATCATAAGTAGCATAGGTAACCGATAACGCGTACAGCTACGTGTACCATAGATTAAGTTTGAATAAGCTACCGGTTAATCAACACCACACATGGACACGGAACTGGCAGGTGTGATTAGCAGCCAGGTTAGGGGACATCGAGTGCAACAGAGGGTACGACAGGCTATCAGGTTAAGCTATCCCGTATTGTTGACGCTTCATTTTTACCGGTCGCATGGTTACTGGCCTGGAGTAATAAGCTGTATCGCGTGTGGTTATAGGTATGAAAGACCGTCTTTGGTCATTGTATTATGTTACTGACCCTAGGTGAGGTCTCATGATCAGCGTCGTTCATAGACGCGGGCCTAGCATTTACAATAAGTATTAGAGGTGAATGACAACGCGAAAAGTTATGAGTATAATGGGCGTCATTGTTCAGTGCATTAGGCTGCCGTGCATAGGTGCGGCTCCATAAGAACGTCGAACCCGGACACGGACGAATCAGTTACGATAAGCAGTCGAGGTGAGTGACAATGGCTACCGCTTTCATGGCGACAGCTTTATGGAGGTCACCACCTATGGAGCGTTTTACGATGGGACTGATACCTTGAGCTGTCGCCGTCATATCTACAGGACAGTTATGTATACCTAGAGAACGGGATCATCAACAGAGATGGCCTTTGCGTCGCCACTGCACAGTTCATGCCGTTGCCTGACAACACCGTACTTAGAGGAAGCTCAAATCCAAGGGAAAGCTGTTGTGACCAGGTTTGCCGAACAAACTATATTTGGCAATCATAATCGCATTTTTTAAGTTTGAGGAGTGTAAGGCAAACAAACGTAAACAGTCGGTGTAAGCGACAAAACCATTAAGTCGAGCAACGAGCACCGAATAACGGATCAGATTTCAAAACGAAATTGACCTCGACGAAAATGTGCTGTACAGTATGACAAAACATCAATAAATCAATTAATATACAACAAACCTTGACGGTTATCGACTGACAGTTAGACCAGTGACAGACAAGGAGACGAGCATTAAGCGTGAGAAACCAGTTCTAAAATGCCAAAAATGTGAATTTAAATAAACCAAGAACATGTTCATAGTTTATGCGACGCAATGTTTTAATGGATGAGATAGAAACGGGGTGATGCGATAACAATCGTGACAATGAATAGTAGGCACGATTAGGCGGGACGTTGAATCTATGCAACAGAGTTCAAGGAGATTGGGTGGGAGCAATTTTTAAGCGTTTTGTGCGATACACCGGCCACCAACTTTCTTCAAGCGATACGCTGCAAAGTGATACCAGGATACGATCAAGTAGGGGTCTAGGTTATGATGGGTCTATGGGGAAAGGGAACGCTGGCCTCCACGGGAATTCTCAGCAACAGACGTCTTCCATGCCTCACGTCAAGTTTCTTAAGAAGTCTACACTCTACTCATCGCCCTCAAGCAGCCACAAGCGTTTGATATCCCGGCGGAAAGTTCCAGCTGCTGTTTTCCCGGAAGCCGTTTCAAGCAGCCACAAGCGTTTGATATCACGACGGATATTTCCAGTTACTGTTTTCCCGGAAGCCGTCCGTATGATTCTATCTGAGCTAACCTCACATGAACTGACAATGCCTAACGGCCACCTATCGTTTTGTACCCTACATTTAACCACCAGCACTACATCACCTTCTTTCAGGTTACGAGTCTTCAGTAACCACTTCTGTCTGATTTGTAATGTGGGTGGATATTCCTTCACCCACTTTTCCAGAATACATCAGCTAGATGGTTCACATGTTTCCCCTTTCTAGTAAACTTTTTGGCGTAGCTGCCGCGCGAGGGTATCCCTGTGTTCCTCTCCAATACTAATAACATCTTCGGTGACAATGCTAACTCGTCTCTGACATCTGACCTGGGCGACACTATCGGTCGATTGTTCAGCATTCTCTCCACCTCCAACATGAAGGTTAGAAGATTCTCATCAGGAATGACTTTTTCTGAGGTAATAGCAGAAAGAACACGTCTCGCAGAACGCATCATTCCTTCCCACACACCTCCACGATGGCTCACCGAAAGCGGTTGAAAGTACCACTAAATTTCTTGTCTCAACAACGGATCGTTGACCTGCTGTTGATCCCACAATTTTAAGTGTTCGCGCAGCTCACCGATAGCTTCGACAGAGTTCAAACCGCCATCACTAAATCTTTCCTCATGTTTTCCACGACGGGTGATAAAACGCATCAGTGCAATGATAAACGAATCAGTGGACATGGAGTATAACATTTAAATGTGTGCGGCTCTAGATTGGAGGCATGTCAATAGACAACGGTACCTTTTCTCCATCTATCTGTCATGCTTGGTCAATATGGGGCCAAAATAGTCAATACCGACGTAAAAGAAACAACGCTGTCCTCTCTCGAACCTCGCTAAGGGTAATGGAGCCATGAGTTGTTGCTCAGCAGCGGTCAGACGGGGACGATATGCCAAACGCTTCCCTGTTGCTCGTTTCACAGTAATATGGCCATGTATATGCCAAAGTGCTTGTCTTATACTGGCGGGAACTTTCAACGTACCACAATGGCTTTGAATTTTGTGATAGTGCATGACGATTAACTCGGTCACTGTATGCTGACTGGGCAGAATAGGTGAATGCTTCACTGCGGGGTAGTCGCAATATTTAAGCCGACCACTGACACGCAGTACGTCATTTGACAGGATCGGCGAGAGTTTAAATAATGGTGGTTTTGCGTGCACCACACCAGACTTTCTAATCTGAGCTATTTCCGCCGCGTAGCACTCTGACTGAGTGATACGCAATATTGATTACTTCGCTACCCTGAGTTCCTGAACTGTAAGATATCCAGTCGATACAGTCTTAGGCGATGACTTCAAACTTGCCTCAAGATACTTTAAAAACCGCAACCACCAAGCCACGCCTTCGTAAATTTAAATCAATCCGAGTAGCGGTTGAACAACGCGCCGATCTCAGCCTTAAAGCATACAGCATTAACATACTTAGATGCACGCTTATATTCTATGCCTTCGGGAACCCCCGATACAGCTGGCAGGGCTATTGGTAGATCATTACCAGCGTGCAGCCAATC